CCCCCCGCCAAGAGATTCTGGAGGACTGCAGGGGAAATGGGCCACCTTAAACCCTGTATGGCCAATGCCAAATACAGGAAATATTCTGGATAACTCACTAAACTCTCACCCATTTCTTAACAGTAGCCTGTGATGTTTGCTTAACCTCCTTCAGAGCACAGTACAGATCCTGCTGTGTCGAGAAAGACCACTGATAGACCTTACCTTGGGGATAAGAATCATCCAAAACAGAGGGGTTTGTGGTGGGCCCAAGGCTGCAGGGCGGTTGGTGGCAGTACCACTGTAGGAATGCAAGGGCTTCCCTCGGTGGGATCTTTGTGTAGGCACAGATTGCACTGTTACCTCTAGTGTTAAAGAACAAGCACAACAGTTTTAGCAAATTCCTCAAATGAATTGGTGCACAGGGCTGCTGGTCTTTCCTGACAGCGGCTTTGACAGAACTTGTATGGAGAGCGCTCCTTATCTAGATTTCTGTACCATACAACATGATAGATACAACCAGATAGAAGTGTTATTACTTCACTTTAACTATGTCCTTCTGACAGCATGCCAGTGCTGGGCTGAAATACCATGCAAGATACTATGAATCCTTGTCCTGGACTATCGCAATACTGTGTTCATTCACCAGTGTTCAACACCTCCAGTTTTAACTTTCTGAATGCAACTCTTTCTGCTGCTGCTTCTGTTTGAGAATTCATAAAGCAGTGCTGCCACATGCAAGCTGCAGCCTCTGTGGTTCTTTTTCCCTTTGGCCTCTATGTCTTCCATAAAGCTCATAAAAAGGCCACACATGCAGACAGGAAGCAGAGAAGGCCTGAACAGTCTTGCTGCAGACCTGCAGTACCTGACCCTTCCCATAACCTTCTCTCTCAATGTAAATCACAAATCCTGTGTTCAGTATGACTGAAATGAGCCCTGTGCTAAATTGTCCTTGTCTCTTGTCTTAGGCTGTTGTCCTGTGTGCTTATCTGGAGATGGAAGGCATTGATCTCAGGGATAGGTCTGTGATTGAGCTGGGAGCTGGAACTGGATTGCTGGGAATAGTGGCCACTTTATTAGGTAAGAGCTTTTTTTGTTTGCTTGTTTAAAACAATTTACAACTGTAGTAAAACTGGCACTTTTACATCTACATGCTGGGTATAGAAGTTAGCACCAAAGCTACACATGTGAACTGTGATGTTTCCTGTCTGAGTCATCTTACTTGCTTGTTAGACTTCAGAGCCTGCTGTGTTATTTATTGTAGCGATGGTGCCACTGCAGTTTACTTTATGGTGGGACCCTGTTAAGACTGACGCCTGTAACCGTGGTGCTCAGCTCAGCAGCATTCAGTTCGGCAGCTATTGTCCCCCCAGGGAGCAAGTGCTGTGCTTGCAGTCTTCCACTTATCCTCCTATGCAGCACAGATAAAGCTGCAAGCAGAAACCACACTCTGAGCTTGTTACCCTGTCTTGCAGACAGGGAAACCGAGATCTGGAGAAATAAAGTGATTTGCCTATAATCTGTCTGTGGCTGAGGCCAGGTCTGGGTACTATGTTAAATTTGCACTGACTGTCCCAGGTTAACTTTGTAATTCAAAGTTCTAGTGGCTGTGGAAGGTGCCTATTGAAATAATAAAAACAAAGCAGTTCAACAAAATCAGTCATGCCATGCAAAATCACACAGGCATAGCTTTTTTGACCTGTGAAAGAAACTCTCTAGCTGCCTCTCCACTACTGAACAAATATGGATTTGGAGCAGGTTAATTGTAACAATCCCTGTAACATATTCTGTCATCACCTACGGAAAAGGCAGAAAGTAACGTCTCTACTTCAATGCACTAAGAGAAAGCTCCACAAAACACTTTATTTTCCCTACCCAACTTAGCCTTCATATTCTTAATTGACTGATGAAGGGTAGGATGTATGTAGATAGTGGGCTTTTTCCCTGTTTTGTTCTTTTGTTTGTTTATTTTTAATCAGGCGGCTCAGGGGAGTTGTTAAGGTTTAGCAGGAACGAAGGAGCCTGCTTGACTGAGAGCATTGTATTCCAAATGCTGTATTTATGGACATCAACTGCATGTCTGAGACGTATACTCCTGTACTGCTTAGGTGCTCATGTTACCATCACGGACAGGGCAGCAGCACTGGAGTTCCTGGAGTCAAATGTAGAGGCTAACTTACCTTCTGAACTACGTCCAAGAGCTGTGGTGAAGGAACTGACTTGGGGAAAAGACCTGGGTAACTTCCCTCCGGGAGCATTTGACTTCATCCTGGGTGCAGACATCATTTATCTGGAAGAAACTTTTGCAGAACTGCTTCAGACGCTGGAGCACCTGTGCTCAGAGCAAACTGTGATTCTTCTTTCCTGTCGTATCCGCTATGAACGGGATAACAAATTCTTGAAGATGCTGAGAGGCCGTTTCTCTGTATATGAGGTCCACTATGATTCCAGTAAGGATGTTCATATCTACAAAGCACAGAGGGGTTGTCACAAGGATGACTTTTGACACTATGCTTTGTTAGTAAACCACTGATGCTGTTCAATCCTCCCTTTGTTTCTGTTCAATACACTTGTACCTTAGCATATAATAGCGGTTGTGTTATTTCACTGGCTTATTTTCTGATGGTCTTGTCTGATCACTTGGTCTGATACTGCAGGGATTGTACATCTGCATATTGAACCTCTGCTTCATTTCTCAGTAGATTTGCATAGGGTCTTCTACTGGCTTTTTATTGAATGTAATTTTTGAAACTGTTTCAAGTTGCAGAAATCTGCAGGCATCAAAAATATCAGAAGATCTGTTGTTTAAAATCAAACCACACTTAATTTCTGTGTGAAACTTAGAAATAGATTAGAGTGGGTTTTTTTTCCCTTTATCACTTCCTTAACTCTAGAAAAGTGGATGAAATGTAAGCTAAGACTTCAGCTCTAAATGTTTTAACTCTTCAGGCTTCTGCATCTTAAAAGCTGTGGTAAAAGAAACCTCTTAAAGGGCAAAACCAACAAAGGCAGCTGCTATAAAGTTGTATTGCTGTCACTGCTGCATTGAAGCAGCATAGGGAAACAAAGAACTGGATCTGTGTAGGGATGGGTTGGGAATCAATATTGCAGAGTAAGCCAACTTCAAAATCCGTGGTATTTTTACCTGACCTGCACGTGTGGAGGCTGTGCCTGCAGTACTGAAGCAGTCGTGGTTCTCGGGTTGTCCCTAACAAGGCAACTTTCCCTTGCCCAGATCAAGGCACCTTGGAGCAGATACACATGAACATGTGCCAGCACGGAAGGTGAAAAAAGGAGACTCAAACTGTTCTTTAAATATCAAATCAGTCCTTGACTCTCAAAGTACCATTAAATAATGTTCTACTTTCTGCCTTAGTTTGTGGCTCACTCCGAGAGCTGTTGTTCAGGAGAAGTGGGTGCTGCTGTAATGTCTTAGTAGTACTTATTCTTGTATGACTTGGGACCTCGGGGCAGTGTTTAGATTTCAGTGTGCTTTCTGTGCAGTGGTAGTCAGATGCTGTTCTAAGTAACTGATTTAATACCTTAAGCTTGTAAAAACACCCCTGCGTGTTTATCCCACAAGATCCTGTGTGAAAAATGCTGCAGCCAGGAATTGGGCTGGCACCAGCAGCAGACTTCCTTTTCTTTCCAGTGGTGGAAGAATGAATCTGGTGGAAACAATGGGCTAACAGAGGATGGCTGCGCTTCTAAATGCAGGAGTTGCTGCTGAGGCTTTTTTTTGTGGACATGGAACCTTTTTTCTTTTTTCTTTAAACTTAACTCACAAAGCCGCAGGTCTTTAAGCCGCTTTAAGCATGTGCATGTCTTTGGCACTGGCAACAGCAAACACCAGCAGCTGCTTCAGGCCGTGGATGTTAGGAGCTCTTTATCACTTCTGCTTCCATCAAACTTCCTCGCTGGAAAAGATGCAGGGGATCTATGGTCCAGAAGTGACGTGCAGACTGTAATCTGGAAATGACGCATTGATCATTACAGCTCGTATGAGTGAGGCCCGAAGGTCTTGTGCTTCATCCCCGAGACGTGTGTTTTCAGCTAAGTTCCTTGCACGGATCTGCACTCAGCCTGAGAGTTGCTGCTCTGAAACATTTGCTTGCAACACTATGCTCAGGAGCCACACGGTGTCACTAAAACAGTACTTACGCAGCTGGCTGGGAGGCTGCAGTCTGAAACTACAGTTGAAGTCCCTATGAGGGAAGGCAGGCAGCACCTTTCATTAGGAACAGAACATGATAGCAGTTTTAATGTGCCAGATGTGGCTTTTTCTGTCCTGTCAACTGGCTGAGCAATGGTTGAAAAAAAAATTATGAGCTCTCCCCACTTTCTGGCTCTAGTTTCCAGAGCGTGGCTTAAGGTCTCACCACTCCTCTTCCTTTTCCTCCCCACTGGTGTTTCCTTGTCTTCAAGCTCATCTGTGGTCACTGTGTGTTAGGCTCCCCCCGGGCGGGAGCTGGCAGGAAGCAGCGTGCTGGTGCTTGGGCTTATAAGTGCATGTGACTTAGTGCGTGGGGACAGCCTGGCTGTGCTTGGCCCTCGCAAGAGGCTGCAGCTTGCAATCCTGAGAGCTTTAGCAGCTTGCGTTGTTGCCATAGTAGGAACATGCTTAAAAAGCCTGCTTAAATAGTACAAATAAAGCCCAGAGTAGTACAGAATAAAGCCTAGTGCAGCAGCCTACATGCTTTTAAGAAGGGGGCTTTGCTCCAGGCCTTGCTTCGACGACAGGAAAAGTTTTGTGTTTTCAAAACAAATCAGTTCATTTGCATTTCTTTCTAATTGTTTAGCAGCTTTCAGTGTCTTTTCCCACTGCAGGCGTGTGCCAGAAGAGACCAGGCTTGGATTCTTTTGCTGTGTGACTGTTGCACGGCAGCTGTATGCAGACCTGAAGGAGTATGTTTGAAGGGTGATGCAATGCTACTGCTTGTGAGTAAATAGCTGTGGAGAATGAGATGAGCATGAGATGACACTGGCAGCTTAGTTGAGTCCTTGCCCCTGACCTGCAGAGCTGAGCCCTTGGTGGCCCCTCCCCAGCTCAGCAAGTGGCACTCCCTCACAGAGACACCTTCTCCTCTTACTGCTACTGGGGTGCGGGTGCTCCTTTAGGTTCAGGAGACCAGACCCAGCAATGTTGCAGTTAGGCCACCAACACAGGCACATTAGTTCTGGTTGCTTTTTAAGCTGCAGTGTTTAGGGGCAGATACCAACAGTGAGAATGTAACTCAGCTGAAACCTACAGCCCATTCCCGCTGGGCAGTGCTAACACCCACCCACAGCAGTGCCTTCTGTTGTCCCAGGTTGGGCTTTGCGGCTGTTGATATTCCCATCACACTTAGCTTTAGGGAGATGCCAGAGTGGACCATGCCAGATGTGCAGGACAGAAGTAGCAGAGGCATAACTGCCCAGTGAGCACACAGGGAACAGCCCTCCGTGAGGACAACAGCAAACCCTGGTGTCCCGACCGATTGGTCCCAGGTGAGGTTCTGCTCCAGAATGAGATGATGCATGGTACTGCTTTGGTGGCCGTTTGGCGGTCACATTAACACCCTGCCCAAGCACTTTCTGTCACCCTGTTCATCCTAGCACTGGAGAAGCCGGTGTGATCCTCTTTTGGGTGGTTCCATTGCACTGGTCCTATTTTGTAACAGATGGTGTTAACTCATCTGTAGAGAGGATGTGTTTGGGCACGGGTCCCTGAGTAGTGGGGCAATGCATAAATAGTCTCTTGAGAAATAAAATACTCACCCTAGGGAAAGGATCCAAGTCACAGGGAAGTGTCCAGGTAAGACATGAGCATGCTGCAAGATTGTGAAACCATCCCCAAAACAGGCCATTCTGCAAGGGAACAAACTTCTCGAAAATGTCATTGCAACTAAAGTCACGTTTGGTTAATATTAAGAGACAGAGTATGAAATTCAGCAGATGAAGAGCTTCAAGGTGCAGCAGTATCAGAAGAATTAGGTTTACCAGCTGACCTACTGACTGCACAGGTATCTGTGTTACCCAGTTCTTTTCAGTGTGAAATACAAGCCAAACTGCATTTTTATCTCAGGGACTACCCCGTTTGGGATTCTCCCTCATTATTGAGATGCAGATTTTTCTGACCAAGTATGTGAATGGCATTACAAAAACGCTCAGTTGTGAAAACCACAAAGTCCCAGCCATGATGAGCTGACCTTACTGCTTCCCCTTGATTTCACTGGGGTGTGTTTACCTCAGTGCCGAATTTGTTCTCCTGGCTTTCATCCCAGTGTTTGGATCCAGCCTGGCAGGTTACACAACTGCGACAGGATCCTTGCAGCGTTTGCTGCCTTCTGTTCTGCTCCGTTATTAACATCAGCAGTACAGGGTTTACAGGCATGCTTGAAAGTGGGAGAGACAGCATACATAAACTGTGAAAGGGAGAAGTCTTTCACACTTCATTACACAACGGAACTAATTGCCACCAGAATGGATACTGGAAAGCTGGTTTTAAAATATCAGAAGTGGAATATCAGTTTGTTTTTCAGGACTTAATCTCTCACTAATCTAATTCAATTTAATTATGATTTGAAAAGCCTTCCCTTTGGGTGAAATATCTCATGAATACTTACAGCAGGCCACAGATCATCAGAGGACACCAGTGTCTGCTTAAAATAATCCCATATTCCTATCTAGCTACCATTTGCCACTAAATTAGCACAACTGGAACATACTGCTCAAAAAAGAGACTTTGTAGAGTTTTTTAAAGCATGTTTATGTGACTGCACATAAATGTTTGTGTAAAAAGGGAGTTATGACAGTTTATACCACAAAGGTTACAGTAAGAAAAAGCACTTCTTTATGACAATAATTCACAAATTCACAAGAATCACTTTAATATACAAAGCAATTACTACCATTCTGAAACACAAAGCAGCTAATATGTACATAGTGTTAATAAAATGCATTTTATAACCCAGTACATTTTTTTAAACACAGATAAAGCACAAAAAAAAGTAAAAAAAAACCCCAACACAACAGGGATGTTTCTAGATTTTTGGGGAAATGTAAATCAGAATTTATCTTCCCCCAATAATGGATTTTCATTTAGCCTTTTAACTTCCACAGGTATGTGGGAGTTGAGCTCAAATACCCTGTTCTGTGCTGACATGGTCTGGGTGAAGAATTGGAAATGCAGATGAGGTGAACTTAACTCTTTCCAGCTTACATTACAAAGGGAGAATAATAACCCTCGCTATGGAAGCTTCCCTGAAAAACATTGTTCCAAAACAATTTCGTATTACAAATCCAGAGTAGAAACAACTCATTTTTGAAGTGAACAACCAATCTGTGGACAAGTCTGTGGAGGGGTTGGCTGCCAGCTAGCACCTCTTCCTGCCCTGTTCCCCATCCCATCCCTAGAAGTCCATATAAGCAGCACAGTTTCAAATCTCATACAAACTCAGAAATTCTAGAACTTTTAAAAATTAATGTTTTAATATAAATAAATGTCATTACACACACAAAAAATGGAGTGGCACCTGGATAAAACACAACTTGGGGAGAGCATCTGAACATCCTTAGTTGTGGCCATTTCCAGCTAGCTAA